ACAGTTGTGATCACTGTACTTAATCTTGCTAACAATTACAGTTATAATCATATAATCCTATCACCATCATCTCCCATACTCTTTCACCAGATCCATATGGAAAGAGGAAAACTATTCAGTGGGGAGTCTACCTTACTCCCCTCATTCTGAAACTAAGTGCACTCATGAAAGCTTGGAAGTCAGCCATTTCATGCCTTTAGTGCCCCTCATGTTTGATAAGTCTTCCCTTATTATCATTATCCATCTGCCTCCCTGTCACCCAATCTAACATGTGTCTACCCCCTAACCTGTGAATTTCTTTCCCCTCCTTACCTGGCAACCATTAAAGAATGTTTCTTTTGGTATGAAAATATTTTCTTAAGCTTTTACAGTAATGGCCTTTTTGTGATTGACTGATTTCACTCAGCATAGTGTACTCAAAGTTCACCCATGTTATAAGGTGTTTTACAGGTTTATCATTATTCTTAAAGGTTGCATAGTATTCCATTGTGTATATTTACCAAAATTTCTTTATCCATTCTTTCATTGATGGGTTGTTTTTTGTTGTTGTTAGTACCATTGAGTTTGTTCCAATTCATAACTACCCTGTATAAGGTTTCTGAAGAGCTGCTGATGAGTTTGAACCATCAACCTTGTGGTTAGCAGTCCAGTGCTTATCTTACACCAGGACTCTAATATGCAAGGTACAAAAGTGTAAAAAGTAAGGGATTTGACTAGATTCTCTTACTAACTTTGTAATTTGAAGCAAGCTACTTAATTTTCCAGAGATGTGGTACTACAGGATGATACACTGGACTGCAAGGTTAGTTTGAACTGCAAGGTTGGTAGTTCGAATCCACCTCAGAAATCCCATACAGGGTCACTAAAAGTCAGAATCCACTTGACAGCTCTTAACAACAATGTCCATTATGGGGCCCTGATGTGGTACTGTAGGATAAGCAATGGACTTCTAATATCTAGGTCATAGGGTCGCTATGAGTCAGAACCAACTGGGACAGCACTTAGCAACAACAACAATATCTGTAAAGTACCTGCTACTCCACAGCACACCACCACCACTACCACCACTGACGGAAAGGCACTCGACTGCAATGTCGGTTTGATCCACAAAGTCAGTGGTTCAAATTCACCAGCCACTCCTTGGAAACCCTATACAGGGTTGCTATGAGTCAGAACCGACTCAAGGGCACTTAACAACAACAACAACTATACTTGGTATGTGGTAGATATTGAATAGATTGTTGCTATTATATTATCGAAGTCCCAAGGTGGAGTGAACAAGTAACACAATGTGCTCAGCTGCTAACTGAAAGATTGAAAGTTCAAGTCCACCCTTGAGTTGCCCTGGACGAAAGGTCCGACAAGGTACTTTCGAAAATTCAGCCACTGAAAACTGATGGAGACTCCCGTTGACCTGGAGATGAGAGAGAGAAAAGAAAGGCTGGTTGGTCCAAAGTGTGGTAAGATCTGGGCACAACTGAACCTACGGACAAGGACATAGCTACAGAGGCCTATAGCTGAGAGTGAAGCATCCAGCTGATATAGAGTGAGAGGAGGCACACAAGAACACCAAAACTTACAGATAGTACCTATTTGACCTAGCCTTGATGGCTTGATAATCAGAATTTGACTACAGGAAGACATATAAATAAATAAATAAATAAATAAAAGAACAAAACAATTTTTGATAAAGGAAATAAAGGTAAATTGCTACAATTTGATAAACTTGACCTGTACTCATGGAGGTAGTAAATCTAACAGAGAGTGAAGGAGTCCTCACATCAAATATCAATGCTGTCTTCTCTGTACACAGGGTAGATAGGGACTGGCAACTTAGACATTGGCTACCTAAAATGAGGGAGCGATAAAGGCACAAAGTGACTGGCTTACAAGTTTTCAAGGAGGAGTTCGGTTTAATAGTGTGTGGGGGAAGATAGAGTCCCCACTGAATAGTTTTCATCTTGTCTAGATGGGTCAGGTGAAAAGAGAAGGGGATAAGATTATTATGATTCAACAGTGAGTAATTGTTACCATGACTAATTGAGACTGTCACAATTGTAAAGGTAGAAGTTTTGTAACAAAAAATGGGGGAGTAGTTAATCTTACAGTCCAGAAACAAAGGACCCTAAGACCATCAAAGGAGAAGAGCACAGCGGAATGTGAGACCTTATCCAGAGAAGCAGCAATACCAGAGATGAAGGCAGAGATGGGGACATGGAGTGATGGAACAGCTGAGGACTCTAGATTCAGGGGACAAGAGGGACTAAAAGCTGGTGGCCAGGAGGCAGACTTGCAGAATGTGCCCTTTGGTGGTGTAAATTATTATATATGTCTGAGTGTTTTAAAAAAAAAAGAGCTAACGTGAATAGAGAGAAATACTGTTAACTGATGGAACATGGAGGGGATAATAATCATTGTAATGAAACATGGTGTATGATTTGTTGGATATGAAACTGATGATCTGCCCTGTAAACTTTCACTCAATCCACAATAAAAACCTTAAAAAGAAAACCGATAGAGCACGGTTCTACTCTGACACACATGGGGTCTCTCATGAGTTGAAGACTACTCAATGGTAACTAGTTTTTATTGTTATTAACAAAATTATCATAAGAGGAATACGCAGAAGTTAAGTTACAGTGTAAATTCAAATGTTCTTTCCCTTGAGTAACAAAATAAGAATGGTAATATATCATAACCTTATTTTGAAGGTTGTAGTCTTTTCTTCAAATTATTTAAACTTGTCATTCTGTTAGTAGAAAGGGGAACAATTGCTACATATTATTTTTTAAAATCTTAACTTGAACACTTTTGAGGGGGTGCACAGGGGTTGAGAGTAAATTTCTCCTCACAAAATGTTCATTCAGAAGACTTTTTTATTGCCTTTGTTGTTGTTGTTAAGTACTGTCAAGTGGATTCTGACTCATAGCGACCCTATATAGGTTTCCTGAGGAGTGGCTGATGGGTTTGAACAGCCAAACTTATGGTTCCCAGTCCAGTGCTGATCCTACAGTACCACACCTGGAGGCCTTATTTACCTAGAAATTTAGGAGTTGTGAATTTTTGGACTTGGAGCACTGATCTACAAACTCACTTGATTCTTACTTAATGTAAAATCTTTCTGTAGCATTGTTTGGAACAGAATCCATAGGAAGTAATAGCAAACTTACGTCCAGATGTGTTTCCAATAGGGAAATGTGTTCAACATGTTGCAAGAGTTTTAGTCAGGTGTCAGGCAGCATCCTCAAGACACCAAGCTGAGGACTTCCAAAAGACTGAACACTCATGATTGGACAAGAGTCAATGTGAGCCTTATTAATAGCCTTTCACCCCATTAGAAAGACTGCAGTCTGTTATCTGCATCATTAATGATGAGTTGGTACCAGCCTGTATGTACCCGATTAGACAGACAGCAGAAGATCCTTCTATCCCTGCACTAGAAGGATCTTGACCATTTCTTATGATTTCAATTAGTCAACAAATAAGACGTCGCTGAGTGTCTCCTATGTGGTCTGATGTTGCTAAGCTTTACAAAACTGATTGTTCTTTGAGGTTGCCTCTGCCAGGAAGTAGTTTACAACCCAGCACATCCCTGCTCTGTGCTTCTTTTCCAGAAGATCCCACCAACAACAAGGATTCTGGTCAAGAGTCAGAGTCTATACCAGAATATACAGCAGAAGAGGAGAGGGAGGACAACCGATTGTGGAGGACAGTGGTGATTGGAGAACAAGAGCAGCGGATTGACATGAAGGTCATCGAGCCCTACAGGAGAGTCATTTCTCATGGAGGTAGTCAAGATTTGTGCAAATCCTGGGAATGGGGTGACCATAGTCTATTTATTAGAAAACAAATCTAGTGTCCTTTGTAGCATGATGTCCCAAAGCTCTTATTCATGAGCAATGTTTGTGGAGACTGTTGTTGCCTAAGTGGCATTGAGTCCGTTTTGACTCAGTCACCCTGTATAGGGTTTCCGTAGGGCTAAG